TCAATTTTTATAATTGTAACTGGGTCAAAAGTTAGCATTTTTCAGCATCTTCCTGAGCTAAAGAAAATGATCTGTATAAGTATACCCATTAACATCTATGCTGGATTGCTGGTAAGTAGCTCCCTGATATGCGTTTTTTCCTACTGCAGTCGTTGCTCTGTGATCCAAGCACTAACTCAGCAGCTAATGCAGAAGCAGCACGGCTGTTTAGCGAGAACAAGTGCGAATACAACAGGAAGGTGCGTGAAATAGTTGAGCAAAGCTGGACAGCAGACTGTCTCTGTTGCTGACTCTGTTACATAGTGTTCCCCTCGTCTCTTGTCTGCATCAAAGTGAGATGTTTTAGGTGTTTTTCTACATTTATAATAATGTAGGGCGATAATGTCCTTTTATTGCTGTTAGGAGCTCTGATTTTCTTTATCTTCATCTTTTGCTGCTCGACTATGAGACTCTGTACGTATTATGTATTATATCCAATTATGTGAAATTGAAGGAAGCTCTTATTCCATAAATTATAAGGAAACCTCAACGAGTAAAAGGAAAAATATCGCATAGCGGTTTTGTTATCAATTGAAGTCCCTCTGAAGGTACATCACTTGCAACTGCTTATGCGTCTGTCGTGGTGACTTGAACCAAGTAGATTCTAGGTATAAGTGGTCCTTCAACAGACTTATTGAGGAAATTACAAATCAGTGATCAATCCCTCTAATTTTACATCATTCTGATTGGAGAATATTTCTCTGCCTGTCTGAGCTTTAAGATTTACATGCACATTTTCATGGATCCCGTGCTGACACTTATTATGATAAACTTCATGGAGGTCCATCCATGGCAATCGACATCCCGGGAGATGCTTGATCTTTATAAAATTGTAAATGTTGCAAGAACCAGTTCGTAGTTTGTGCTCAGGAGATGCTGAGTGGTTGAGACAATGGTATAGTAACCTGAAGATCTCCAGGTTAGAATCGCAGCTATTAATATTTTAATGTGGCCTAAGTTGGTTCTATATATTTGTATCATATCTACGAGCACAAGAATTGATTTTTCTTGTTTGAAAACGAATGTTCTAATCAAAGGATGTATGCTAAATTTTTCTCTTTGTTCGTAATAAATTGAGCCAAGTTTTTGCACATACTTTCTCCTTTTTCATTTCCTTTTATGGTGACCATCAAATTATACGCGTGATTTAGCTTGACATCTGACAGACTATTCTGACTGCCTAATTCATTATATAATCTTCATAATAGTATAGGTATAAATCGTGATTACGCGCTTGTGTGCAATATACAAGTTCCTCCTTTTTTGCATATAAAGCTATAATCATATGACGTAACAGACTCTCCCCTCATGTTTTGATGGAACACATTGTTGTGTTTTCTCATTTCGTTTCCTTTTGGTTTCTTTTGTTTGTCCTTTTGCCATACTTAAATTTCAGCATCTCAGAAAAGGAGTCTGCAAATTTTTTTTCTTTAAACAGAGACTGACATACAGGTCACAACTCACAACAGTAGGCAGAAAGAGTTACTAATATAGAAAAATGACTCATTCCCCACCCCCGTAAACAACATTGTTCTGTTTTCTTCTTTATCCCTATCTCTTTGGCCTTTCCCCTCTCGTAATTTTGTGGTTGGATTCCTGGCCTGACTCTGATATTTGATACTCTTCGTTAAAAATCATACTAGTAATTATTGTTTTAGCAGCAAAGCAATCTGTAAATCATCAGAATCTGCAACTTTATTAGTAGTACTGCACAGTCAAAAGAAGCTTCTCTACAATGATTTTCATACCATTTCTTTTTACTAGACAATAAGTAAATGATATATATTTCTCGCAAAAATGATATCTCTTCCATTCTATGTTATGTGACACTTTCATTTTTAGTATGTCAAAGAAAAATTGTCACATTTCTATATTTAGAAACTATTTAATTGTATGACGTATCATCTTCACTTTACAAGAAATGTTAGGACCCTTTGATCTAAAAGTCACCTTATTATGTGGAGGCAGAATATAAAGGACATACAAAACTCCCACACTTCTTAATTGTTGGTAGTAAGGATCACTTTGATATTTTGTAGTATATTTTTAGCTTATGTGTCAATTTTTTAAAATAGATTTCTTATATTTTATTCAATGAAACACCGTCATATAAAATGAGATGACAAAATATGGGAATAAGGAAGTATAATAATATTCAGGTATTAACCAACAAAACATTTAAAGAAAAGAAACAAGAAGGCTACATATCTGAAGCAACAACAAACACTAGTGCAAGGAGAGAATCTTCCTTTTTTGCCCTTCTCTTTTCGAATTGTATAGGTTATGGCCCATAGCCAGAAAAGGTGACCCTGCACCACACTCCACAGTCTCTCCTGATATTGCTCAGAACACGAATCTTTTTTATTATTTTAATCTGTCCTCCCAAGTTGTCCAACCTTGCAAAAACAGCACATCTGTCTCTCACAAGAATAAAAAATCAAATACTAGTAATATCAATTACCAATTTCTTACATGGTCACTTTCAAGTCTTTAATAACAATCCTGGTACAATAACATATGTGCATTTTACTATACACACAGTAAATTTAACTGTCCGCATAAGACCCAAAAAAATGGTTTAACTTGAAAGAAATTAAAATTAGTAAAAGTGTTGCTGCACTGGCAATGGCCAAAAATTGGTCTGATCTTCCACATTGGTAAACATGTTGCAAAATCCTTCTTCATTGACAGTTTGGTCTACTTTATAAGCTGTTGGAAAAACATCATGGTTATTGAGTGGACTGTTTGTTGATGATGTTCTTGTTGTGGTTCCAAGATTTACGTCTATAGTACTGTTGTTCTCATCGCCACTTCCATTGTTGTTCCAATTACATCCTTCGTTTTCCTTGTTCAGGTTAAACAACATTGGTGGTGTACCTCCAGCTGATTCTCGGTTTCCCAGACTCAATAACTGCAGCTGCCCACCAGAATCATCAATGCGAAACATAAACAATTAAAACCTTGGGAATTGTGTGTGAGTAGTTAGAAGGGACCCAAAAAAAACATGTACATACTTCCTTCGGTCTTTTCAGTTATCGTTTATGGTTTTGTCAAACTCATTAAACAATCATTTAACTAAGAATTACTCGCTCCGTTCACTTTTAACAAGGTATGTATACTAAAAATAGATGTCTACTTTTATTTGGCATTTTACGCATATCAAGAGAAAACAACAATTTTATTTTTGTTTTACCCACAATATTTATTACTCATTTCAAATCATTTTCTCAAATTCAATAAAATATACATTAATTAGTATGTGTATCATGATAAATTATGCACTTCATTTATTATTTCTTAAGGGACGTGAAAAGTCAAAATATACCAAGTAAAAATGACCGGAGGGAGCACTCATTTGACTAAATAGTCCTTTGCCTATCCACAAAATGAGAAATAATTATTGAGGGACTTCCATAAAATTTTACAGTATCATTTATTAAAACAAGGGTAGATTTGAAAGAAACACAATAAATGTACGTTCTTGATTTTCTAAGAAATTGATTTCTTGCCTTGGAACAATATGAATTACATGAACACCATTTGTGGGTGCAATTGACTGGATCCAAAATTTTAATATTGTGGATTTTTTGGTGAGAGAGTGAGTTCTAAGATGTATATCTAATTCTAACCATACATAAATACTGGGTTCTACCAAACTGCAAACCCGTCCGCCAGCGTTTGTGAGTGATGGTGAATTTCTATAACGCCAATGATCAAATACTAGAAATCAAATTAAACCCAAACTAATTTCAGCTAAAAAATATCTAAAAATGCAATATGGAGTGAGTTTCCCAATAGCCTGCCCTAAGCATGCGCAGGATCCAAAGACGTTTAAGTCAAATTCCAGTGTGAATATAAAAGTCAAGTTCAATTGTGTTACGTACCTCAGAGTGAAGTTTTTTGTTTTGAGTCTTGAGTGCATCATTATCAGCCTTAAGTTTATCACATTGTCTCTTCAAGATTTCGTAATCTTTCTCCAATTGCTTAGTTTTACACCTAGCTCTTCTGTTCTGGAACCAAATTGCAATCTGCCTTGGTTTCAACCCTAGAGCTCTAGCCAGTTGCATTTTCCTCTCAGGCTCAAGTTTGTTCCCCATCTCAAAACTTCTCTCAAGTGCCTTCACTTGCTCCAAATTCAGCCTCCTCTTCTTCTCCCCAAGTAAGTGTGAAGAGCCATCATCATCAGACATGTCGTCCTCCACTCTCGATTCTTGATTATGATCAAATGACATGGCTCTCCTCATTAACAACGGTGAAATTCCTGCATATAAATTTGTCATATTCCTACTATTATAGTATTATGCTAGCTAGCTCACATTGTGGTAGATCTAGACTAGACACCGTGATGCAATATGAAACGAATGGGTCATTTTTTATACGAAGCATAGATATGTATGTGAAATGTCAGTAAAATTAAAATGAATATCAAGTTTAAAACTCATAATTTAGAAAATGTAATTGGTTTAGTGCTAAAAAGTAAAAATTGAACATATCAAATATAAATTCTAAATTCACCTTAGCACAGTAAAATTCAATGCATTTAGCTCGCATTATATGTGTAATGTGTGCGGAAAAAATTATAAAGAGCAGAATTCACTAACTCTCTAGCTAAATCATGGATTCATCAAGTTATCTACAAAAATACATAGAGATAGACTGAGAGAGAGAGAACCTTGAAATTCTTGATGAGGAGGACAAGAAGAAGGAAAGACATGACTAGGGAAGGAGGAAGGGAGATCATCATTAGCTGCTTCATGGTTTCGAAAATCAACAGAATTAGTTTCTGGTGCGGCAAATGCCATGGTACCTGTACTACTAAAAAGCATGTTATCTTATGCACAAAGTAAACCAATTAAAGTCATATATATCTTCTTTTTTTGAGGTGTTAATTAATAAGTCAAGAGGTGTAATGGGGAGGAGAGGTTTTGAAGTGGGAACATGGAAGGTGCCAAGGGGGGAACATTAACATGGGGTGGCAAGATGGCAAGACTGGAAGCCAGCGAAGTTTATAAATTATTTTTGTTAAGAATTAACAACACATAACGTGAAATGTTATTATAAAATTTATTATCAGCACAAATATTCTCCTTACTTGCAATGTGACGCCCTTGTATTTTTCCTATGACTTGCGCTTTAGGTGTCTAGATAACAAGTCCAACTTTTTTACTATTTTTTTAAAGCGCTACGTACTATATACATACAATGTCTATTATTTAAGAGGTAAACTCTCTAGGCTAGAGCTATGTACTCCACAAAGTCAATCTGATTCAATCTTCAAGATTGGTAGATTTAACAACGTTACTCTTTTTAATGAGAGAAATATCCATGAATTCAACATCAACTTTCGAAAGGAAAATTACTGAATTTGAGGTCATGTTTGGTGTTAAGTAAAATGTTTTTCGTAAGTGATGTTCTTTGATACAATTAGGTGAATTGAATCGAATAATAGGATGATCACCTGCCGCAAAATCTGAAGAAGGCATGTGACTGTGTATATATATATACCCTTTTTATAAAAAAGTTATTTATATGTGTATACTACTTGCAACTCCCAAATTACTCGCAATAGGTTGATGCCTTTCCATGAAAAATAGGAACAGCTAAGGGCCGCCATTACCAAAATTTGGATTTTCCTTTTCTTTTTTGCTTTTGAATCTCTAAATACCAGATAAGTTATTTTTCATGATTAATTATAACCACAGTTGATATTTTATATGGAACAGAAAAAAGAACAAATCTACAGAGAGAGAGAGAGAGAGTGTATAACCTCAAATCTCTTTAATTTTGCTGCCTGTAATATGGAGTAATATACTTGAACAAACACTTAACATACAATTAGATTTACTATTTTTATTTTTTTTTGCATTTTTCATTAGGTGTTCTGTACTTACTTTTCCACTTTGAAGTCCCACTAATCAGAATTCGCACTGTTTTCCAAGTTATTTTCCATTGGACTCGGACATTGCAAAGTGAGAAATAAAGAAGGTAGGGAAAGGAAGGAAAGTGGAATCTTGTGATGTGGAGTTGTTGTGGGGGAAAAAGGATTAAAAAGAGGAAAAGAGTGCGATGAGCAGTGGGAGTGTGGTGGCCAAGTACGACGACCTATCACCTGATAAAACCCAGAGAAAGTTGAGGTGCCTCTTTCTCGCACATTTTCCTATCAATTTTTGGCACTGAAATAAAGGCTGTTTTGTCTTCGTAAAATTTAGCCCTTTTGCTGTGACGTTTTTACTCTAGGACCCAATATGGCGTCGACCACATATGACGCAAAAGTTTTTGGTATGGGCAAGTCACAGGCATGAGGGTTGCAATATAACTAAGTTTGCAATTTACCTTCTCTATTTGAGTTACCTGCAGTTGCATCTCATTCTTTATTTTTGTTAACGCTCGTGTCGGGGTCCAACTTGTGTACATTTCCATTAATTCCATTAGGTATCTACTACTGTATGACCCAATTAATTTTCAAATGATGAACCAAGTGTATTTAAGGGAGATGTCTCACGTGTGCTGTTGGATAGCAATGAATAATAACAATGGAAAAAGGTTAAAAATGCCCCTAAACTATTGAAAAAGGGTTAAAAATGCCCCTAAACTATTGAAAAAGGTATAAAAAACCCTTCGTCCACTTATTAGGCTAAAAATACTCATCCATCTACTTTTTGGTTCACTTATGCCCTTTGACCGTTAGGTCAATGCTAAATTAAAAATACTTATTATTTAAATTCCACGTGGCAACTAAAACATCTAACCTTTTAGAAAGACCCACCCATATCTGCCTATTTTTTGGACTAACGCATCCCAAACACTAACCTCATCCAAATAAAAAGTTTAACTAAAAAAAAAAGACGCCCCACTTCCATCTAACTACGTGATGTCCGGACATCAAGTACTTTTTTTTATAACCATGGTGTCCGGGCTAGCTTACACACAACTCGGCTAATATTAAGTACTTGTTAAAGACCAGTTAGAATACAAGGGCATGACTTAGCAATAATTACGAAAAATTCGCTAATGGCGAAACGTTATACTACAGGGATATGGTGATGTATCCTGTAACCTAGCACTCAAAATGTTTCCAGAAATTCCTAATGAATTTTACCAAATAAAAATTAATCATTCGAACGAGTTTCATTGCAGTTCTATAAAAAAGTCAAGGCATCAAACTTTCTCTGTTACTAATAAATTTTTTCCACTCGTTGTTCGAAAATTCGCCATCAGTATTGACTATCAGGAAGAAAACGATCATTTCTAACCACTGAACTAAAACAAAATTACTAGAAATATCAAACTATACTTCCATAGATAGAATTAGTACCTCCATTCGGGAAAAGAGAGAATTCCCCGTGAAGAAATTGTGCTTAGGAAAAGGAGCATCTTTTTTTAGTTGAACTTTTTATTCGAGTCGGGTTAGTGTTTGGGGACGGATAGACCAAACAATGGGTAGATATAGGTTGATCTTTCTAATAGGTTAGATGTTTTAATTTCGACCAATAAGAAGTTGCCACGTGGAATTTAAATAATTATTACTTTTAATTCAGCATTGACCTAACGGTCAAAGGGCATAAGTGAACCTAAAATATGGATGGAGGGGTATTTTTAGCCTAATAGGTGGATGGAGGGTAATTTTAAACCTTTTCCAATAGTTCATGGACATTTTTAACCCTTTTCCTACTAACAATAATGGAGTAATAAATGACTCAAAAATATGAAAGAGAGCAATAAATAACATTCAAGTAAATAAGTGAATAGAGGTCACCCGACAAAGGTGAGATTCCTCAACAATTCCTTTGACAATGATATACAATGACAAACCTTTCAATATTCTAATCCTTCTTGGATCGGGGAAGAAAAGATAGATAAAAATCTAAAAAGGTGAATTTTGTACGTATGTGATAAAGAGAGAATCTTGAGAGAATGTCAATACGTTGTTCTTTATAATGAATGTCCAATCCCCCACCCCCGTCCAATAAATACATATCTTTCTATTTATAAGGGTACATGGGCCATAAAACCCTAGATAGTACAACTAGGAAGAATATTCACTCGAATATTCTCTAGGGAATAGTAATCCTAGAACTAGCCGTTACTTATTTCCAAAAAGGATTGCTCGTCCTCATCCTCTATTGAGTCATTTCGATCTCGTCGATGACGCGTTGTCTTCTCATGACGTCGACTCTTTGAGGCCAGTTCATTGTATCTTTTTGATGACACGTGGTAACCTCCGAAGGATTCCTTAACGTCGACTTGGTCCAAATATAACATGACATTTTTTGCCCATACAGTTAGTCCCTCCGCTTGTTGAGGTTTTCCTCGTGGGCGAGTTTAATGAGCGGATAATAACGTTCGTGGTCGTTGTGAGAAACGGCGATGTGGCATATTGCAGATCGCATATTTCAAAATCTTAATCTTCTCGAGTGATTCAATGAAACTATCTTGTCAAGGATAAGATTATGACATCATAGCGTCATTCATCATGAGGAGGGATGTTCCTGATGCGTTGCATCAATATATGTGTGGTTCTTGATTGACTCTGCCATTTTAATTCTAGTAGCAATCATGATGAATCGTTCCCGGTTCGGTGCCTCTTCTCTATAAATAGAGATGTTTTTACCTTCTTTAGAATCATCTTCGATTTTTCTTTTCTTGCTAACTTATATCTGTTCTTCATGCTTTCAATTTTCTTTTTCTAACTTTTCTCAACTTCCATAGTCATGTCGAACATCCCTTCTGATGTAAATGAGGAAAACCAACCCATTTCGCTGGTTGTTATGTTTCCCTTTCATGGGGAAGACACCATCTTCGTGGCTAAAGAGGAGGATCTCCCTTTAATGGAGGAGATCATCCCCCATAATCCTGATGCTAAACCTGATTTTCAATAGCCGGCGGAGGTGATGATCGAGAAATTCCAATCTTCGATGACAACCTAATGTTAGTTCAAAGTCAAACATGGACTTCCCTACCACGTGGAGCTAATTCTTGGTGATAACGATGAAGTGCACGCCCACCGTCCTAGGTATTGTGCTCTTTATGCCTACCCATTCACCATCAACTACTCGTTCTCCCTACTTCTATTGATGAAGGAGTTTTGTCATTATTATAAGGTTTACCCCGCTCAGCTTGACCCTACATTTATAAGGTGATCAAAATACTGTCGAAGTTCGCCGAACTGGTTGGTGTCGAGGTCATAGTATGACATTTGGTGCATCTGTTCGCGCCTAACTTTTATCGAGGCATGATGTTCAATCTTCGACAGCATGGAGGCAATGCTTGGTGGTAAAATAGATGATAAAGGTAGTCAATAATTCTAGTTCGACTACTTCTTTGTCAAGATCGAGGTCGTCGTAGCTGATGTTACAGGTTTCCCTGAGGCCTGGAACCATACTCGTACTCTTGTTTCTACTTTTTCAAATATTTGTTCATTCCGAGCTTGTTGAATAATCCTTCTTGTTTTGCAGCTACTGGTCGACCTCTTCAATTGGTGGCGCACCTCGTCGACTGGGTCAAATAACCCATGTACTGTGGGGATCCATGACTTGCCGAGCTTTTGGAAATAGTTCAAACTAGCCCTTCCCTCAACATGTACTTTCATTCTTCTGGTGGGCTTTGCACTTGTATTCGCTTATATCGTTGTGCTCATCATTTTATGCTTTTTCTAGGTTCCTCCAGGGAGGCTACAAGAAGGTACATGGCGTTTGTGCCTTCATTTTGGAGGAAAAAGGTTGCTACACCTTTAGTTTCTGCCCCCGTCTCAGCTACTGCGCCTGCTCCCCCTCGTTTTCATTCATCATCATGGAAGAGGAGGTTTCTCCACATGATGTAGACTTGAGACCCCACAAGAGAAATGTTATAGATATAGGAGAAAGTGTGCTCGCAGACGTCGACTCGTTAGAAGATGAGATTGTGATACAGAAGAATACGATGATATTTATCGAGAA